CTGTCAAATTGCAAAATTTGGATAACTATATGACATTTTCATAATCATTTAAAAAATACCATCAAATATATTTTTTAAAAATATGTTGTTTTTATTATATTTTGTATATCCAAAATGTAGTATGTTTTATTAAAAATGGTAGTATAAAAAATACACAGATAAATTATTAAAATTTATTTATAACAACAATAAGAACTGTTACGTGACAGTATAAACTATTGAATTTAAAAAATATCATGAATATTTAAAAAAAAAATACTATCTATGGATATTAGTATTAAAAGAACTTATATAATTAAACGATTAATACAATTAATGTTATAATTCTATTTAATTATATACTATATCAAGGTTTATATGTTTTAATATATAAGATGGTAATGAAAGAGTTCGAGTTACACAAAAAAAAAAAAAAATGAAAGAATTCTTGACGATAAAAGATGTGCCACGTTCGGTTCTGGTAAGGTGCATTAACATTGCACGCCCCATGGAGGTGTTTTACAAGGAGGGTACTGATGAATACACCAAACCCAAGCAAAGATCAAAAAGTTCATTGCCTCCATCCCTTACAGCTTTGATTCATGTTAGTTTCAAATTTTGTAAAACATGTCTGTCTACATGCTTCCTCTTTGATTTAAGAGATGAACACATTTTTGCTCTGATTTCTTTTTATTATCCGTTATTCCTTTATATCTGTCCAAGCATGATGCATATTCTTTTATGATTAATTTTATTTAAAATCATTTTGTATATGTTTAGCACTAACATGGGGATTTGGATGATGGCAAGTAGCAAGTTATACAGAAACTTGAAATCTTGAAATAGAAAGGACTTTAGTAAAAAGAGAATCCCCTATATATTAATAGAGAAGACAATAAGTGAAAATCCTAGATGTCATCCAAAGAAGATTTTAAAGAATTTTTAAGAAAACCTATTAAAAAATTTAATAACATTATTTTGTAAATAATTAGACTAAATTCATATCACATATACAATATATAACTATTGAACATATATGGAAGCAAGGAATATGTGGTAATTAATATGAAATGTTTATTTAATAAATATAAAGTACATGTGCGAATATCTTTTTTTTTTCAATGACTATTATATTTTTTTGATATGCGTTTAATACGGGATTAGAATATTAAAAAAAAAATTCATGATTTTTTATATACGGGAGAAATTAAAAATAACAAAGATATATCTCCAGTATTATCAATATATTTTATCTTACAAAATTTAATTTGCATGATATTTAGACTAAATCCAGATAATTTTTTAGAAATGTCAATTTTAAAAATGCCATCATTTTGAAATTTGTTTTTAAAATACCACTAATCTTCTATAATATTAATTGAATAGACATTTGGTGAAAAAATCATATGTATTATTCAATGAGATTTTTAAGGAATATGTCATTTAAATTAACTAATGAAAATATTTTAATTAAAACTATATGCTATAGTGGAAATCGC